ATGTCGATTTTTCACACCCTATATCTCTGTAATCATTTTCGCTAGACCCCAAGTGTGATGCATCGATGAAATCAGCTCTTCAGGGAGAATCAAAAAATGCAATAAAATACAGAGTGTTCCATTTGAAAAATCAAAGTTGCTACTGCTTTCTAATAGAAGCGGCAACACCGCATTGTCGAAAATATTTTAGTTGGCTAGACAATGTCCGAATATGCCCTCCATTGAATTTTCAAAATGATCCGTTGTCTGGTTCACCAGAAACGTCTAATGTGCCATCCACCGTGAATCAGCCTGTATCTCATCCTGAAAGTTTAGTGATTTTTCTTTTTCAATTTTTTTTTATTTTGCAATAATTGTTCAACAGAATATTTGAAATAGTTTCAGAGAATGTTCTGCTGATTCCATCAATAGGCCCACAACTGCAACATTGATTCTCGGAAAAATTGAGAAGGGAATTGATTTCAATTTCTGATAAATTCTCCAAAACTTAATGTTGTGACTTACATTGTAGAAATATTGTTTCGAATTTTTCAGACACCAATATTAGTTGGTCTGAACCATACGCCATTTAGAAATAAAATGAGTAATGAAAAGTGTATCGCCCTTTAGCAGTCCAAGGAATTACCGCGAAATCGTAATACAACGAAATTTGGGTAGGTAGGTTTAATTTTACGCGCTCTTTATATTCAATTTCTTTCGGACTCATTGTAGGTAACTCTACAATTTTTTCACTATTCAATTGATTCATTATCGTAGTTTGATATATTGAGTTAGTTTCATCTTATTCCAATTCCAAATTTGCAAAAAATAGTATTCTGTAGTACAACGTCCAGATTTTCAATAAAATGGGATTTCTTTACAACGCCATAACTCGGTATTGATTCATCCTATTGGATTCATTTTTTCACCAAAAGTTGAGGAATTTGTTGAAGATCATTTCGTCTCGATTGAGTGTGCTTCTAAAATTTATAGTAAATGAGCTATAGCCTATCAGTTACGAACGCACCAGTACGGACTGATGTGAAATCTCAACCTACTAGCGTGACGTCAGCGTCGAAAGAGAGGGGATAGACTACGGCCCGGTGAGATAGAGTAGGCCCTGCGTTAAGTGTCTTTTTACCGCCCGCGAGCCGTAAAGTACTTCTCTGTTCTCAAATTCCTTATGTCCACATAACAATTCATGAAATAACTATGTTCACACTCTAAACTGATTCTATGATTTCCAGCGGTATATTGTGTAAATGTTCTTCTTCATCCCATTCCATGAATCTTATCTCTTATCACTCTACTAACTTCTTTGAAGTTTTCACTCTTATCACTTTACTTACGGACTTCTTCTTTGAAGTTTTCACTCAAACTATGACAATTCAGCTTGTTTTTCTTAATTGCTTGACAACAGCCATATCAGCTAACAACGTCAAAATTAGGTAGATATACAGGCTGATTCATGCATGTATGGCAAATTAGACGTTTCTGGAGAACGCAACTCAGGATTATTTTGAAAAGTTGGTGCCTTGAATAATTAGTTGTGTTTTATCGACCTGAAATATTCTCAGCGCTGCGACGTTGCCGCTTATATTGAAAAGTAGCAACAACTTTGATTTTTTCAATGGGACACCCTGTGTATCATTCCGTTTTCAGATTCTCCCTGAAGAGCTGATTTCATCGATCTATCACACTTGGGGTCTAGCAGTAATAATTACATAGATGAAGAAACCCAAAGTCATCTCCATCTTTGAGTTTCTTCATCTATGAAGTATGCCACTCTACTTTGCGTTACCATGGACTTCTTTCAAAGAGTAATAATTAATTTAACCAACTGTATCTGTTATAGTTATTACCGAGATCCCGATGATTCCCCTCGAATTTGGGACACTATACAATAACTTTTTTTTTAATATCTAACGGGAAGCAACTCCTACAACTTTCTAGCTCGTATCACATAATATTGAATTATATCTGTTCTCGTATCTGTTTTGAAAAAAATGAAGAAACTATATCGCTGTAGAATTTTTTTGTCGAAAACATTTTGTCTTCAAAAATCAATAATAGTATTTTAATCTCTCATTTTGAATAGGAAAACATGAATTGCTGTGATTTTTTTCTCAAAAAATACAGAAGATATACCATGGGACCAATTCATGAGGTCTTCTGGTGTCGCATTCATTTTAATCGGAAATGTCATTTTGAATTGTCTTGCTCTGGGCTATGGATTTTCCTTGTCAAAAATGCCAAAGATATAATATCATGAACTTAATTCATTGTATCTAATGATTTGTCAGTTGTTCAATGATGGTGGTGAAGGAAAGATAAAATAGATGCGACAAAATCAGTTGACATGATGAATTCATCACAACTGCAATACCTCGTTCAGTTGACAAATTATCACTCCACGGCCTGCTTTATGCGACCTTCCATCTTGTTTCAATTATCTCCTGAAGATACTAACTTATTTAGCAAAACACGTGTTAAAGCGTTAAAAATCGGTTTGGTTAGTGGTAAAACAGAGTGAGTTGAGTGGGATTATCGTGCTGAAAATTCCATTCACCTCAACAGCTCCTCATGATCTACAAAGCACAGATACGGCCCGTTTCAGAATAACCCAAAAGCCACACTCAGTAATTCTTTGACATCCTTAGAATACCTTAAACAAGTCGCCGACCTTTCACATTTCAATAAGTTGTTCATCTATAGAAAGGCAACGTCCTGGAATTCTTTGCCGAAGGAAGTATTCCCAAGAACTTTAAAATAAAAAAGTTCCAATACCTACCTTCTCTCCCTATCCTCCCTAGGTACGCTCAATGTTCTTCGAATATAATAGGGATTCCATTTCGTGATCTCCAAGAGACAAAAAGTACTAGTTTTATATTTTAGTCCCTAGGATCAAATGGGGCACCTTAGTTCCTGTTTGAGGGTACTAGAGGCTATTCTCTTGCACAAAAGATAAAAGATTCAAAGTAGTATATAATATGTACAGGGTGATTCGAATGGAGAATAGAATAAATCAAGAGTTGATGTAGGATGTATAATGATAATGATATAATAATAAACTTTATTCATGGTGAGTATAAAGTTCAACTGCATACACAACAATAAGAACAAAGTTGAAGTGCGATAAGTACTGTTGTACTTTTTTCGCAATAAAAGAATAACAGAGGTAGGGAATAATTTATCTAAATAAACAATAAAATTAGCTAAATTACCTGAATAAAAAATAAAATTACCTATCTGTGACATTATGCAGAAAAAATACAATATTACTGATGCATTTAAACTAAAATAAAATGTTTTAATGTTGAGAAATCTTAGAATTAATGAGCATTGAACATATTTATATAAAAAAGTTTAAAAAAAACATTAATAGAAAAATGTATGAGCTATTGAACAAATTAATAATGATATAGATGAAAAATTTTAAAAACTGGGATAGAAAATTCATAGACATATAGATAAATCAAATGCAACGCTTAAAGAAAATTAATAAAATTTGTTTTAGTTTGCCATAGGATATTCATTTAAGTAGATTTATTAAAAATTTGCTTTCTTTTTGAAAGAGGAATAGTTTCAATTTATTCTTGAACATTGGTCTCGAACACCGAAAAAATTCAAGGGGTACTGTGACAAATCATGAATCGAGTTACACGCTGACAAAAGCAATAACTCACATGGTCAGAACTCCTCCACATCAGGCAGGGTAGTTTTTTTCTTCTAGATTATGAATTATCTACGAGCACCGACGAAAAACAATCTATTCAACTTGATCTAGCTCCTCACCCGTTAGTCTTAAATCCATAAGCAAAAACAATTATATATAGAAAATTTCATCTACTTCAATTTTATATAGGATGGTCTTTTCGCTAAAATGTATAGTTTTCGAGTTAAAGGCAAAAAACTAAGAAAAGTTCGAATATCTCTGAACGCTCCAGAAAATTCTGTTTGCAAATTTCAGATTCAGATTCAACACTCCCAAAAACATATTAAACCTTAGATAATCCGACTACTTGAAATTTTCCACAAGATGATCTTTATCGTTAGCGTTTTACTGAGCTATTCGCGAGATTCACGAAGTGGGCAACATCTAGGTTACATAATACGAACTTCAAACTGGGGGAAAACAAACTATTTTCTATGGATAAAGTGCATAGACTACATTGCATACATCTTGCTGTAGCTGTAGTTGTCAAACTTGTCAATGACATAAAGTGTTATCACTCTTATCAGTACACAGTACACAAGCTATTGGCCCTGATGGGATTGAGTGAGGATTGAGTTTGTTTTCCCCCAGTTTTGACGTGGCTTTGACATGGAACGATGAAAACCGAGCGCCACCTGGTGACATTGATTCCCGCGAATGCTGAAAGCAGACAAAACTACCGAACTGAGACTAACCTGTGGCGAATTAACAAGATCAGTACTAGTGAATCCGGATGAATAGTCGCCCTATATCAGAATTTTGGGGAAACTCATGGAATAGAGCTTGGTGTTTTTGCGACCGTTGTTATTGTTAACTGCGACGTTTGCCTTGATTACTGTCAGTCAATCAGTCACCCAGACAAACAGATAGTCAGTCACTCAAACAGTCAGTAAGTCTGTATGTGACCCCTTTTTTTTGCGTTCTGGCAGCCCCGTAGCGCATGCTGCTGAAAGCGTTCCCAAACGTCTCTGGTAGTGCTGATAGCAAATAAGCGAACTCCCCGAACGAACCCTAGTACCACTGGTGGACTGCAATGAAATTCTGGGGAATCTTTCTTCCTTGCTCTCCATTGCTTCATTCTGGCCCTGATGCGTGTAAGCCCTGGTGTTGCGGCAGGGGAGCGTTGTTCTGAAGGGCGTGTTTTATTCCTTGAGCAGATCTATCTTAATTTGAATATGATCCATAATAGGAACAGCTCGTTCTTGGTATTGAATTGGTATTGCCCCAATAACAACCACACAATCTACTCAAGCAAACTTTTGTCATGAATAGGACTAAAATTATATGTTTTCTATTTTTTTTATAGGAGAAATAGATCGTTGTTTAAAAAAAGTTACTGAAGGCGTTGAAACATTTGAGGATATTTGGCAGAAAGTTCATAATGCAGCTAATAGTAATCAGAAGGAAAAATACGAGGCTGATCTTAAGAAGGAAATCAAAAAATTGCAACGTCTTCGCGATCAAATCAAAAGTTGGATTGCATCAGCTGAGATAAAGGATAAAAGTGTTCTCATGGATAACAGAAAACTCATTGAGACGGTAAGCTAGATTCCGTATCTATTATTGAACTCCATAATTGAATAATGTTTTATCCTCATAATATCTGAAGTATCTGCGAATTTAGCTATGACATGAACGTACAAATTTATAGTTTAACTGTCAGCTAATTCCTGGCAACATATTCCAATAGCATACATTTTTATATTTCATGGAAGCACCCAATTTTCAATTTTCAGTGATAAATAAATGATACATATAACGATTTCAATGATGAAGATGTTTCCTCACGATTCACTGTTACATTTCAATTAACAGTGTTGCTCCTGAAGTGGCACATGGAGTTGATAACCAACCCTATATTACCATTATTTTCTTGGATGTACTTCAATTTACAAGAAAATTAAAATTTTAAGGGTATGAGGTCGGTAAGTATCGTGCTTACTCGTTGAATTCACAAAGGTCGTGGATTGGTTACTAGATTAACAACAATAAAAAAAAACGAAAGAAATAATTGAGAAAAAAAATGAGAGTGTGGACGCCAAGTAGTTTCAATAACCTTCGCCAACTCTAAACTGACAAGAAACCACTGAATCATCGGTTTGTACTTAATAAAAAAGTTCTCTATCTTCCCAGTAACAGCAATAGCAGCAATAACATGAATTCAAAAGATATTGGTATCAACACTCAACTAAATGGGATCCCAATATTCCACCTTTGCAAAGGGTTTTGAGAAAATATGAACGATTTTCTACACTAACTCCAGTCTACTCAACCCTCTCCTACAAATAACTGTGAAATTAATAAACACCGACATGATGTTTCCTACGATTCGGAATATCAATATCAGCTCCGTAAGAGCTTGACAGCATAGAAAAAGAAAAATACAAAATATCGCTATGTTTCCTGTACATAAGGTCCATCGGCACTAATCACACGACCATAAGGGCTACGACTTCTTGACACTGTCTCAACATAAAATCGGAGTCTCTAGTAGTTTAATTTTGCATACTCAAAAACCTTTGAAGTTCTCCCGAATTACATTTTATGACCATAAAACGAAATACTGGCATACAGCGAATGAAAACAATCAAAATATAGCGCACCTCCCAATGCCGATATCCCTTACACTACAAGAGATGTTTATATCATATGAGTTGAGATAATTCCATCCGTACTATTATAAGAAAAACTTGGTACCTCTTTCAACTTTGTGTACTTCACAAATGAAACATCACAACTCAATAACACATAAAGGCACAACAGAGGGTATTATCTGTTCAAAACGAACTTCGAAAATTAACCCAATTTGGCCTAAATTATCTCTTCCACCAACTTTCAACTACTGTCACCTGCCTATCCGTGCGCTGAAAAAAAAACACAAAAAAATACTTGCTACTTTTTACGTGGGCAGAAACCGATTCTCGAAGCAACTTGCGTCCGAGCATTTACATAGTGTATCAACCACCAGAGGATTCCACGAGTACAGGAATCCAAGAATAAGCACACAATAGAAAATATCATAGCACCATCACCACTCAAAAAAAAACAAAAACAAATTAGAAAACGACCCTATAACTTGATATCTTTTATATGGACCGAACCGAACGATCTATTATCTTCTACGTTGACGAGTTCGTAAACATTAGTTAATATTTTATGAACTACATGGCATTTGACAAACTTCGGGGCAAGTTCACTTACGTAATACTCGGCCTTATCGAACAAAATAGAGTTTTTTTTGCATACCACTTGTCAGTGTCTCAATTTATAACGCTCGGCCGCTTTTCCATAAGAACTGACCAGACGTTCGCGGACATCTTCGAATATATCCCTAACATTTTTCAAATGTTCGGAAACATCATCACGTTCGGCAAACATGATTGAACCATCTGAGTTTTCCACCCGAAACGCTTTTCTACTAATTTTCGCTTCACGGCAAGAATTAAATTATGCTGGCCTGGAACCGGTTATTTCGTGAACCGCGGTGCTTAGGGAAAATCCAATCTTCGCAAGTTTCTTATCCCAATATCGCCGGTCGGCTACAAAAATAACTAAAATATACCTATCTTTGTCCCGCGATAAAGGTTAAGGGCCAATTATATTCGATCAAACAAATTCTCAAGGATGGTACAAGTACAAGCGTCTAACACCCATCTCACCATTTGATAAGTAATGCGCCGGCTTCTCAGCCTTGCAGGTTTCACAGGGAATTATATGAACCTATCCATTTTTGACTTTTGAATATTCCGAGGTGTCCCGCCGCAGGACCATCATGGCCCTTGTGTAAAACTCTCGACCGTTATTGTTTTGGAATCACTTGCTTCTAACCAGTGCGCCAGGATTCACAAATGTATACAACTTTTCGCGTGCTATCTTGAAACTAGGATATTTTACTGGTCTATCTTGGACCCCCTTCATTAACCTTGTGTACTAAGAATCTGCATCCTCTGGATTAACTTCAATATTCGTGATGGCCCGAGACAAAGTGTCTAGTACGGTATGCCATTTTTCGACTCCGAACAACACGGCCAAGCACTCGAGTTCAGTGGTGGAATAATTTGCTCAGAACACAACCCTAACCCACTCACGAAGCGTCACACTAAAGAATGAATTCCCTTTGTATAACACCGAATGATCAGAAATAAGTGGACTAGGTCGAAACATTCAAACCATCTTGTATAAATCATGGTCTTTATGTTTTTGGTTATCACCAAAAGCTTTTTAAATAATAAATTCATTTATTGTACACAAAAATATCGAAGTTTTATTAGAGAGAAAATTACAATGCATCTTTACTGTGTGAAGTCTATAACAAATCTGATGAGAACAAGTCGGTGAACGTCTCGTTTCCTGCAAAGTGTAAACTGATTCTGCATCCGTCAGCGGTCTCACCATATCCTTTGAGAACATGGTAGCTTATGATGTTCCCATACATAATTTGGTTGAATTTATAATAAAAAAGCTTTCAGAATCTGTGAAAACATGATCAGGACCCTATTTAAAGAAAAGTTAAATTTCATAAAAAGTTGCTATGAAAAGGTATTTTCAGTTTTTCTGTATCTCTAATAATAACGGAAGAAAAATATTTTCAAAAAATTCACTTTTCAAATTTTTTAAGGCCGTTGGTATGACCTTCTGAATGCGCAACTTTTTCCCCATTTAACCGAATTCCAATCTTCCCGTTTCCGAGATCCCCATGACGTCCATCCTCTTCTTGGTTACACTTTATAACCATCTTTCATTTTCTCCAGCAAATGGAAAGGTTCAAGGTAGTTGAACGGGAAACCAAAACGAAAGCCTACTCAAAAGAAGGATTAGGTGCTGCTCAGAAACTAGATCCTGCTCAGAAGGAGAGGGATGAAATCCAGCATTGGCTGGTATCTTCGATAGAAAAACTAAATATTGGGGTATGATTATTTTACTTCTATTTCAGTTAATTGATTACTGTAGAGGTATTCAGTGAGAAATCGATAGTCAATCACCCTATACAGTCGATTATGATAAAGGGTCACAACACATGTGGAGAAAATGTTAGTACAGGTATGGTTCCTTATATTTCAATCATAATTATTTTGTTGACTTGAATTATATGATATATAGACTAAAAATGAATATAAACCTTCCAGATATCCAAATATGATCATTCCAAAAATCGCTAGTGCATTGGATTCATTGAAAAGTGAGAAATATCAAACTGAATCATCCAGTAGATTTTTTTAAAAAATCCTACCATTGTGTCTACGCTCCCGACAGTAGTGATACGATTTGCACTTAGGAACACTAAAATGCTACAGTACGGATCAAACTAATGTCGACACCATGGTTGTTCGTTACCCCGTTTTGCTTACTGCGCAACCATAATTTCATGCCATGCGCACCAGGCTGCCTATTTTATAAGAAAAAACAATAAAAGTCTCAGTATGTCGACCACGAAAAATTTTTAATAATAGTAGTAAAAGTATTTCACATTCAGGACTGATAATTTGATTTTTCGACCTTGGCGACTACGTCGGTACCTTGGATATTAATTATTAGAATCCGTCTATTGGGACTCGTAAGTATTGGAATATTTATATGATGAAATGAAAATAACAAATAACTAACCTAACATCAGGTGGGTACTTTGAAGGCGCAAAGCGCAAATCCATTACTACATGGGGTATACCCTTCAGATTTCTTGCTATTCAGTGACTTGATCACGAATGACATTGAAGTTGTAGTGTTCTGTGAAACAAAAAATTCAGATGCTATGAGTTGGGCTGTATTGTGATGACTTGGCAGCTATTTCCAGGTCATTAACGTATCCAGAAAATAGACTTTCTAAAACATGTTAGTTTCCTGGGTTGTCAAATTAGATGAGTGATGCGTCATCCCTGGCACTGCATATTTGAGTGCAACTTCTGAGGTGATTTATTCACGTTGAATCAAAGAGAACGACGATCGAAGCCATTGCTATATTGTTTGTGATGGGGTTGAAGTAGAAATGAATTGACTAATATATTTAATACAGTATATTTCAAATCAAACAATAAAAATGAGCAATTGAATAATATTAAAGTTTCAAGTGAATACCTACTAATACAGGTAGAGACAAAGTACATCCTACCTCGATTGATTTCTCCACGACAATGGAAACACAAACATTGTTTACAATGAAGTAATCTCTCATTCTTTCAGAATTCATATCTTGAAAACTGTTTAATGAAATAGAAATGTAGGCAACAAAAAGTTATTCAAAAACTTCACAAGCAATATCGACATTGGTGTTTTTTATGGTAAAAATGTTATTGTTTCACAAGAATTACTATAGATTTCCACCAGCCAACGGTTAAAGAAATTGAAGAAAGGTGTTTTTAATTTGTAATCGGTGAATTATATGAAAATGATTAGCATAATATTGATGCAATAGAAATACTAGGGAATTCAGTCACTCTGGCTTCTTTATTGCTAATCTAAGCTTTCGAAAATTTTTATTTCCTTCTCCATGGCTAGAAAACAATATTGAATATGAAATATCTTCACGAGTGACGGAATTCCCTGATATCTCTATCGTATAAAATAATACAGTCGATAAAATATTCAATAGGAAATGATTACCCTTCAACATACAATCGACGACTATTTTCTAAATGTTGGCAGCGTTCGCCATATTATTCTCTATACTTTTTTGAGTCCTATATTAGTCAAATCAGTCAAATGATGAGATACAAATGTGCAACAAAAAACAACAGTTTCATACCACTTGTGAAGTTAGTAGTAAAAAAATTATTATTCAGCTATCTGCTATCCATTATCCATTCTAATTGCTCTTGAAATCTGCACATTAGTGATTTCTTGAAATTCTTGAGAATGTAATGTAATAAAAGTTTGGAGGACATCATTTTCCACTTTCGCGAATAACCTACATTTTTATTTTGTTTTTAAATAGGCTAAAACATTATGAAGTTCATTACGATAAAAAAAGGCACAGAGCATGTTTTTGAACTTCATATTCCTTTTAGATGTCCGAAAAATAAATCCCAAAGAAACGATCCCGGTAGAACATGGCGAAAAATCGTCAGCGGTACTGACTTCACGTCACAAGTAATATAACAAGCCGATCGTCTATTGGTATATCAGCTATTATTCGATCGATTGGTAGCAAATTTGGACCGGTATAAATAACCGTCAATTTGATGAGTTTCTCAAAAAAAAAATAATATTATCATTAACCCGTTTTTACCTGGTGTTCCGAAATTGGACACATCTGACACATCCCCAGTGTTCCGATATTGGACGTAGACTATTTTCCCTCTCCACGCCATAAAAACTCAACGCATTAGGGCATCAGATGACCTAATCTGTTCACTATCGATGTTTACATGTTAAGAGGAAGTTGTATCGTTTTGGAATATTATTGAAGATTTGTTGTGCGTTCCTGAATATACTGGGAGATACTGATACGAAAATGGCTAACAGAAAGTGAGTATTTGTCCACTGCCTAATTGCTTTTTTGAAAGGGAATCATGTTCATGTATAGAAGTCATCCAGTTTTTGTTATCTTGTGTGATATATATCACAAAAATCTTCATTTTTCTTTGCTAATGTCACTATTTTCTGCCTCTTCCAATATTGGATAACTGGGAACAAAATGAATTTCTGTTTTAGATAGATAGTTAGAGAATGGCATTGCCAGTGATGGAATTATAGCAGAGTTTTCTGAGGAACATTTCCCGGGGAACTATCTATAGAAAAGAGGTGTTCTAATGGGGTTGAAGAGTTGGTGAGTGTGGCATCAACCACCAGGCGAATGGCTCTTCTTTGGATGGAATCTCAGAGCATCTGCGTATGTTTAGGTCCTGAACCCTATGCATGAGAACAGTATTCTAAAACTGGTGGGATCTGTGATTTGTAGATCATGAGAAGCTGTCGTGGTGTAAAGTAGATTTTCGCAAGGAACAAGAAACCGAGTTTTTTTGAAGCAGCTTTTGCAATAGATCATTCATGATTTTTCCATGAGAGGGTATTGCTGATGGTTAAACCTAGCTTAGATATAGTTGACTTAGTGGGAATAGTGGTACCGCACATTGTTATATCAGGCATACTGTTCCGTCTTCCTAGAGAAAATACAGGCTGCGACAATGTTGGCCTGCCTTCGTCGCAAGTTCTTAGTTTCCTGGGATGAAATGGGAATTCTAGAAGCGAACGCAGTATAGAGAGTACTACCGTCTGCAAAGCTGTGGATAGGGCAAGTGGTTGCTCACATAGATTGATATGATGTAGGAACAAAATGTGCCAAAATTGGTCCTTGTGGAACGCCGGAATTGATGGCAATGGTATCTATCAAACGATACCCACCACCACCCATGGAGCGATCTGCCTGAAAGAAAACTCGATAAGAGAAGGCATAGCCGAGGTGGTAGGTCGTATGATGGTCGTTTGTGGAGCAGTCCTTGGTGCCAAACACGGTCTGATGCCTTCGATATATCTAGCGCTACAGCTAGAGATTCCCCATCTTTTTTCAATGAAGTTTGCCATATATGGGTGACGTAGGCAAGTAAATCTCCAGTTGATCTTCCGTGGCGAAAGCCATATTGTCTATCATTAATGAATCCTTTGGAGATGAATGATAAACAGTGCAATTGGCGTATAGTTGTTGGGCAGGCTTTTGTTTCCTTTATGATTTTATGACAAATCGAACCCTTTTTAGTACATTAAAAACGCACGACACTGTCCAAAATGATGTTTGTCTCTGAAAAACTGATCATATCGCTAGTTATTCATGCCAGCCCAAATTTGGCAAGATTCATACGATTAATAGCTGAGATATAGAGGGGAACCGTTTAAAATGAGACAAGCTGTAGATATTAGTCATGTCATGAGAATTTGAGGTTCATTAAAATAGCAAGTACAAAACCTTTCAGTTAGATTGTATAAACCTCGGTATAAACGTTGAAGAATAGATCGAATTTTGTTGATGCTGATTGAACCTATGCTGTGCTACAATCTACTCGATTAGTAATTATGTTAACTATTCGCGATAGAAAATAACACGTCACCCTACCTGTCGGTAACAACGTAAACACTTCTGAGCTGTTTGTTTTGATGATATGACCAATAAGCATTGACAAAAAACAAATGTGAACCAATCAAAACAAAGTAAACTGGCCGCTCTGACAGCTTTCAACAACTCCGATAGGTGGCGTGAGCTTTTTTTATCGCAGGATTATCAGGATTTTTCTGAAAAGTGGGTGCCTCGGATAATAATTTGTGTTCTATCGACCTAAAATATTCTCAGCGTAGCAACAACTTTGATTTTTTTAAATGGGACACCCTGTATATTATTCCATTTTCAGATTCTTCCTGGAGTGCTGATTTCATTGACACATAACACTTGGGGTCTAGCAGTAATAATTACAAAGTTATAGGATGTAAAAAATCGAGATTTTTCAACTTAAGGAATTTTTTGTGTCGAAACTATTCATAATTGGTTGAAACGGTTTTCATGTCCCTATTCCAACATTTTATCCACTATCAATTGATATTCAATTGAAATAGATACAGGGTGGTTGAAAACCTTATTTCTGAACCACCCTGTACATATTTCATTTAAATATCAATTGATAGTAAATGAAAACAGGGACATGTAAACCGTTTTGACCAATTATGCATAGTTTCCAGACAAAAATGCTTAAAGTTGAAAAATTTCGATTTTTTCACACCCTATATCTTTGTTATCATTCCCGCTAAACCCCAAGTGTGATAGATCGATGGAATCAGCATTTCAGGAACAATCTGAAAATGGAATGATATACAGGGTGTACCATTAAAAAAATCGAAGTTGTTGCTACTTTTCAATATAAGCGGCAACGTCGCAGCGCTGAGAAAATTTCAGGTCGATAGAACACAACTAATTATCGAAGGAACTGAGTTTCCAAAATAATCCTACGTTGCGTTCTCCACAAACTTCTAATGTACCATTCACCGTGAATCAGCCTGTATACTTGTAGAATTGGAAATGGGGGTAAAACCTATATTAGTGACGAATCATCTCGTCAGTTGAGAGTTGTATCAATTCAATTGAGAAATATTTCCTCGATGTTTCCATAAAATAAAACAGCTGGCAACACAGGAAAAGGGATGATGACGTCAGTACTGCATAGACGATTTTGCAGCCAAACTCTTGTTTGAATGTTCCATGAAATTGTAGGGTATTTAAATGGTGTTTTTTAATTATTACAGCATTGTTTATACAAAAAATATGCATTCACGTTATGTTACTAATATATACCAGTATGCATATGTAAATTGAATTCACGCATGTGTTCTTTCCTATTTCAGACTGATAGCTTTGAATCTGAGATAGAACTATTATTGTCTAATAAGAAGAAAAAACTTGATAAAGACAAACAAGATAGAATGGATGAACTGAAATCAAGACTAGAGAGGCATAGGTTTCACATTAGGAAATTAGAAACCTTACTGAGGATGTTGGATAATATGTCTGTAGAAGTACAGCAGGTAATAACCTCCATGAGTTTCACTACTTTATATGAGAAATCAAGAATACCTAGTGAGGACTTTAATTTGATTAAATTATTATCTGTAAGTGTTCATTATTTCTTTTATTAATATAGTGTTTCTTTGTGATATATACTCATCACTGTTTGAAATGAGTTACTACTTGAAAATATATTTCATGTTAAATCCAGATAACAACTTGAGAGTGATTTCAAATCTTGAAATCCATTTGAGAAGTATTTTTGCATTTTAAAATTCATGACTGGCAAGAAAAGTTCAGATTAGGTTTGTACATGATTCTCCATTGAGTATTTTGAAATTGATACCACGTGATATTTTCAAAAGGGAGCTGTATCTTTATATTGAATTCAGATTAGTTTGTCTGACCATTTTCCATATCCCTTCATGAACTATCATAAAATAATTGCCCTCACTCGAAATGAAAATCAAATATCCAATTTATTTTTCCGCATCAGGACAAAAATTATCATCAAAAATTCATTTGTACCATGTTTAATGTAGGGTGCCTGAACTATAAAGTATTATACCTTATAGGGAGTGAGGACACACTGAACCAAAACAGTGGCGTAACAGTATATTCATATACAGGGTGATTCAGCTTTTAAGGTACAAGATCTCATCATTTTAATAAAGAAAGTTTATATAAACATGATTCCGATCTTGATGAGAAGAGGGGTTTAATTATTTTTTTCTATTAATTAAAATATCTCACCCACTTATGGAGATATCTATTTGAAATTTGGTGTGATTGCTACTTCCTAGAAGATGATCATTTACAGCAATTTCGAGATTTTCAATATCTACAGGGTTATACATTTTTAGGGCTACAAGCTTCTTTATTCCGTCCCAAACTCATTCGTACTACTCCTCTGACATCTTCCAGTTACTAAATTGTGCATTTCGTTTGATTTAGAGGCTTTTTTTGCTTCCCAATTGTTTTTGAACCGTTTCGAGATAAATAAGCATATCCTCTCTTAAGCATGTTAATTCCACCTATGTTTCGATTAAATTTCATTATTGTACAAAATTCATTAGAAATGCAAAAAGTGTACTAAAATTGCAATGTTTTCAAGCCTTACTCTAATCTGCTTTAAAACAAACATTGCAATTTCAGTACATTTCATTGCATTTTATCAATTGTTTCCAATAATGAAATTTAGGCGAAATATACAGGCAAAATCGAGGGCAAAATTAACATATTTTAGAACGGGTATGCTTATTTATCTCGAAAACGGTTGTTTCTCTAAAAAAATTTTTCAATTTTCATTTTCAGGAAATTGAACATTTCATTCAGAACTCCAGGTTTGAATGCTATTATCTTGTATTTTTCTGCTCAGAGTTCCTGAAGAAGGCAATGGGAAATTTCATTTTAGTAATGTTTCCTATCCTGAAGATCCACATGAAAATTTGATGGCTAAGGCGTTCTCTATTATTCCACTATCCCAATGTCAGTTTTTGGTCTTTCCATGAGAGTAAACACTTCAGAGGTTACACCAAATTTTCCCAAAAGTAATGATCTGTTCAGATCCTTGTTTTCCAGTTTCAAAGTTATTCCTCTTAACCCTGAAAAAATGCCTATGCAGGGTCTTGAGACCCCAAGTGAGAATTAATAGAAATATTTATATTATTTGAACGAATTGGCGACAGCGCTTTCAGGTATGTGTCGGTAGACACTTCTTGTGTATACTTTCAGAATGCTGTGGCCTATTGGTAGTGATTAACAGTGGCGGCTCGTGACTCCCATGACAGAGGAGGCTGAACGATATGAGATTTATTGTGAAAAACAACTCTCTACGACTCACCCAAATCAATAGCTTTAATGACATTCTGTTAACCAGTTAACCTGAACTTAATACTTGAAGAGATGTGTTCCTGTGATTTGTGGTGTCTATCCAATCCGCGAGGCAGATTTTTCAAATCATTATATCCTAATCGCCCCCAACATGATGACTTATCGGTTGAAAATAATACGCAGTACGAACAAAATAGCTTATTCCTTACCTCAGATTCCGTCAACCAGCTATATTTTTTATAATTATCAGAATTGAACGAACGATTTTGTTTGTTACCTGTCAGAATCAGATTTCTTAATCCCGGTGTCGGACGTTTGTTTTTCACAATCAATTTATCTTCATAAGACAAAGCACTGAATGGGTTCACCAAAAATATTCCACTAAATCGCAATCGTTTAAAACACTCATTTTTCAGAAATTTATAGGGCTCCTAACCATTAACCTAACATAAACAATGCATTCGCGATTGTCCGCAATTCGCGACGAGACACGACCACGATAAACACGTGTTATTCGGGCATTTGCATTGCGCGCTAGGGTTGCGCATTGTGAAGGAGACTAGCCTCCTATAGATGTGGCCAAGTTGAATATTTTACGAGTGATTTGCAGACTTCAACGTGTGATGCGTGGGCAAGCACTGTTGCCAATTTAAAAATATTCACCTAAAGACAGGAAATAAAATAAAAATCCATGTATTTTGGTGTCCTTTTAATGAGAAAGTATAGATAATATCAGTTTGAGGAGAATCTCTGAGGAGGCTCAGCCTCCGTTGCCTCCTCTGAGGAGCCGCCACTGGTGATTAGTAATAGGTGATGCAACTAAGTATGGACCCCGATTCGGTATTAGGCGAAGAATAAATTTGGGTTACTAAATTCATATTTTTGAAAGTTTTCAGTCAAAATGAACCCTATGTGGCTTACCAGGCCACTTATACAAAAAGTAAACGAAGCATATAATATAGATTTGGACACAGACGTTGATTATGAAAGCGAAGAAGAATCGATTTTTTGTCATATAAAAGAATTTTTATTAGTTTGTCTACTAGAATTAAAAATAGGTTTATATAAACTTTTATTGAAATAAACTGTGATCAAAAGACATCAGTTCGATTTTTTATTGAGATACAGAAAAATATTAACAAAAACGATATATTCGATCGGGGTCCCTGAAGGACCCCTACTGGCATTTAGGTTGGTCCCAAGAACATCGGCATTTAAGGGTTAATTGTGAAATCTCTTGTTCCTTGTACAGAAATGTTTTCAATAATTCAATTTTCTAATTCAAATGGTCAATTAACGTTTCTTTCAATTTTGCTTCAGTTCTTGATGAATCGTCTCGTAACTTTTCTATAATTGCATTTTTATTCATCAAAATATTGTGTAGTTCTCAACCGCTTTCTTCTTGCAATTTTGAAAGGTAATCAATCTTTGAAATCATTCATTTTATAAAAGATTGGTGCTGCATCATCTTCCAATGTTACTGTTTTCCGAATTTCCACGATGAAACCATCTTCATTGAAGTGTACAGTCTAAAAATAATAGAACTACTGAAAAGTTATCTTTTTAAAAACATTCACCTCGCATTTTTTTTTCCTTTCAACCAAATAGGTCTCTTCATGTTATTTTTCCATTCAGCTACAAAAAAAGGTTTTCATCTTTGGCAGCTCAAATAGTCGGTACCCGACGCCTATTCAAATATTAGAACTGCTGTTCCACATCTGAGAATGATGACAATTCGAAACTGTCAGTAGTGACAAGTGTGTCATCACTCTCCGGCTTTATTCCGAATTCAACTGGTCAGTACTGTCAGTAAATCAACTGACTGCTGAAAATCTGTGTTCCCAAAAATATATTCGAAAAAAACAGTCCTGTAATTCGGAATACGTTTCCATGGTTTCCGTCAGTAATCAGCAGTAGTTGATCAGCTGGTGAAATTTAAATATCATTCTCAGCGTCAATTATTTCGATAACAGGCACTTTCTGATATTAATTATAATATTATTAATTTATTATTGATAAGACAAGACTTGATGTTTGAAAAACAACGGAAACAAATTTGACATTCCTTCTCCTATAAAATATTGACAGTTCACTGAAGCCACACTACCTTTTGATAGTTAGCAATTTCAGCAAAATGTTAAGTCGAAATATTCGTAATGAAAAATTAGTTTAATGGGGATCTGTTGAAGAAGGCGCTTAGTGAGTGTTATAGAGAAATATGTCCAATTAATAGAATAGATGATGATAAATGATGACTAATCACGGGTTTTTTATTGCATAACAAGATATCCGTATAATTCCGGAAGAAGAAATATCCTTATTGGACTCGATATGAAATTGTACTGAAAACAAGTCAGGACTGTATGTTTAGTATATCTTTCAGTAGTTGCCCGTCAGTATTTGTAATGAACATGACAAATACAATTAGTTGTACACAGTGATTGCATGTTTTCCAAATGAGGATGTAAAGTTCGTTTTGACATCAGAGAAGTCGTTTTCACACTCAATATTCTGCTGTGTGAAGGAAACTTCAAACCGATTAGCACGATCATATTTTCCAATAATTTCAACCCTCAAGTACTACCTATGTTGAAAATCCTGTATCTCTGTCATTAAAGCGAATAATATGTCGCCCTCTCTGGAACTCTCCTTCTGAATTTCTGAACTACAGGGTTATTCATCATTCTCTTCCATTTAAAATTATTTTCGAGGTCGCATCAGTTCTGATTGTACATGAAGTCACGATTACCTTCCTTATTTCAAATGAATTTCCCTGTATAATATTGCATTTTTGGATTCACAAGGAAAGTTCATGACTGTGTCTATTTTCAACAGTTTCTTATAGATATTCTATGAAAAATTTAGGAAGATGCCTTATTTTCAAAACTGCATCTTTTACCCATTTTCGACTGATGGTGAGCGCTTCTGAGATCATGAAGCACACGTATCATACTTCGGAAATCCAGATTGATAATTCATTTATCACATACAGGGTAGCCACGAAATAGAAAATCCGAAAGGACCATATAAAGTTCGCTCTATTTCTTCTAGAATAATTAAAATACCGATTCTAATACATCTCATGATACCACCTGGGGCCCAACATAGAATTGGTGCATCAAAAATAGGTGTATGTATTAGTCAGAATGACAGGAAATCGAGCAATAGCTTCTACAAGTGTTCCATCCCGCCTCTCTGTGGACAATGTGCAAAATAGATCTGTCCAAAATGTTCTACCCGTTATTTAGGTACCTATATCGATGATCAATAT